TTATGTTTCTACGCAACACTGTGCGGTATAGTTTCTCGCGTGGCCCTGTTATTTATAGACGTAATTTATTGTATTTTACGTTGAATGGAAACATACGCCTCGACACGTACACCATTATATTTATATAACAGAATTTTAACGAACTAATTTATTTCGTACGAAGTGTACCAAAGGTTGTCAAAATCCGACGTACCCAACGATAGAATTACGACTTTTATTCATATGTAAACTGTTCATATCGACTTTTCTCCTATATCTTTTATTTGCTCGTCACTTTTCCAAACAGCCAAGTGTACAATATCCAATCAATAAACTGAAGCCAACACCGAAAGTCTGTTTCCATGACAGCGATGTCATCGAGATTCCTTCCAGGTGTCTTTTAACGTACTAGAAAGATTTTCTGGCAAACATATTTTTCCCAGAGTACGTAACACGCTCTATCGTTTCGGATAAAGTTAAAAAATAAAGTCGATTTGAATTTGTAATGGGAAATTCGAAACGAATTCCTAAATACACGACGGATAAGTAAGATTACTAAGATTACTGCAGAAATTCGGATTTTAGTGATAGGATATAGACACAGTGACAAATTACATTTGTAAATGTACCTGAAAAATAATAAAAATCGAATGGATCGGCAGCTACAAGGTATAGAACTTAAAGAAAATCACGTATATCTCTCTACAGCACTGGTAACTACGAAACGCTCGGAATAAATAAACACTGCAGTCTAATATACACGTGTATAAATGTATATGTTATTCAATCACGTGTTATACATATTTATGCAAGCGTTTGGCTATTATTCGATTACCCTCAAACACGGTTAGATTCCCGCAGACATGTCAGAGATACAACGTTTGGAGGAACAACGTCGAGTGGGCTTCTTACGGAAACTATGGTCAGAGATCGTGCATCGTCCGACCGGAAATGCAGGCAGAACTGACGCATAGTCAAAGGAAACGTAACCCCGTGATGCACTCGGAACACGAGAAGTCTGAACCTGACCATCATGCGAACCGGGTTTTAGGCTTAACCCAATTGAGGGGAGACGGCAACGATACAGTGTCTGTTGCTGTTCCAACACAGCTCCGTAAATAACCATGTTTCCTGACTTGCAGGACATCAGCGGTGGACCCTTTACCCTAACGTAGTCGAAATTTATCGTTTCCCAGTTCAACGAGAAATAATTCCGTAGACACGACATCAGCCGGACTGGTTTACATAAAGATCCAAAGGAAGCTCGGCACGTGTAAACAAACGCATCGTGCGACACGCAATGTGATTTAAATGAACGTAGCTCTGGCTCTTGCGGATCAAAGCTTGGACACATCGAGCAGAGACCGGAATGATTTACAAACTCGAGTGTAACGATAGTGGGCAATTGCATAAATTCATAATCGCGCACAAAATTAGGATACTTGAATGAATTATACGTCAAACGTAACGTTACAAATCTATCGTTGCAAAAGCACGTAATACCCAGTTCTAAACACTCAAAATTGCATCGAAAAAATGAGATACCGAGATACATTGGTAGTATTATCCCATTACCAATGGTGGATGAACACGGATGTTCCAAATCATACAGATTTGACGAATAATACAGTAGATCAGCAGTCCAGAGACATACAGCCAACTGCTAAGTACGGATGAGACATGCATGAGGTCGAAGGATTCAACTCGGATCAGTCTAGGTTGGAAGAGCTGCAGTTATAGAATACCTCAAAGTAGAGAGACTAGATCCACGCTACTCCAGATCAAAGAACCTGAGTCAGACTATCTTAGAATCCAGGGACACGACAGGATCTTCATGGGATCTTGGGATATGAGTACGATTGCTTCAGGTTTAAGGAACACCGGTTGGATCATCCTAGGGTCAAAGAATTTCGGTCCCCGTGATCCTGGCTCTGAGAACAAGCGTGAAATTTCTCCGTGTAAGATGAATCCAAAGCAGATTACACTATACTGAAATAAAAGACGCGAAAAATATAAAAATGGTAAAGCAAGTTTAGCTTTAGGTAAAGCACTTTGCTCTGTAAGATCTTCCATGTGCTATGGAATTACAGAGAGACTGTAATGCATCGATAGGGAACCTGGAAATTTGTTAAACAAGGCTACTCTTCTACTCGTCTGGTTGCCTGATGCTTAATAATTAAAAAGTTATTTAATAATCGACGTTGAACCCAAAGATTTATCGGATACGCACTCACGTACAGTCAATTCTCTCGCTTACTCGATCCCAGTTTCCTTTCCTCTGACAAACAGCGGATAGTAGATGGTATGATACCCCTAAAGATCAAACCCATGACGCTGGTGCGAGAGACCTTAACTTTCCAGCGAACGGCACTCGATAATTCATGGTAAGAAGGCTTAAGTCGTGCATCCACGCGAGAGTACGAGAGTGGCGCCGGGACGCGTTCAGACGCTGTCGTCTAACAGGTGCCGATGGATATATCATCCGAATGGTGGGGTAGTTTGCATTGGGACACCCCTTGTCGTTCCTATAGGATGGTGACGTCAGCCGGTGATAGATCGCCTGAATTTTAGGCACCCGGTTAGGTTCCTTCCACGTTGCTAGATACGCAAGCAGCTTCCATGAATATTTTTTCATGCCATGAAACTAGTTAGACCCCCGGATAAAATTAATGCGCTGCGTGACGCTTTCCCCTTATAATCGACTGTAATGCAATTTAAAATATTGATCAAACGCACGTCGCAACCGAGTCATCGAACGTCCAATATATTTTCCGTTTTACTTCGGCAATTTAAAATAAACTACCCCAACAGAATGAGAGATCTCGTTTTTCGATTACAATTTAAAAAATTCTCAAAACAACGATACATTTTAACTATACAAAATCCACGAGGAAATTCCAAGAATGTACATTCGCGTTTGCGAATAAAGACACAAATACGCGAAACGAGACATCAGATGCGCATGGTTGACGTATCGGAATGCGACGTGGAAAAGGCGGCGAGAGCACGTTAAACGAAGACACGCGTACGGAGTGGCGAAAATTTTTGCTGGTTGGGCTTCCAATAATCTGCGTGCACGTGCTTCGTAGGCACGCCTGGCGTAGGCCTCTAGTGAAAAAGAAAAGGTGGAAGCGCGGCGGAGGAAGGGCCTGAATTTTCGCTGGCGAAGGCTCGAAAGCGGGCGAGCCAGAGATAGAAATAGCTCTTCGGGATTCTCAGACAGCCCGAATCAATGCAAACAACTGGATATTGCCGGCAATATCAGTTTCCTTAGAGCGGAGCGCCGCTCAACTGCGAAACGCGCCCAGACGACGACTACGGCGTCGAAGGTGGATCGGTTCTGGGCGAACAAAGCGCGAAGGCGGAGAGGGTTGGAAGAAGCGTGCACCCCTGCCGAGCGAAAGTTTGTCTTACCCTCTCCGCCGTCCCTCTGCCAATCGATCCTCGTATACCATTCCGGAATCCTCACCAACGCAGGGCCACCTCTACCTTCTGCACCATCCATGCCTGAGATCTCTTCTACTGTGTGATTTATTCAGCTTAGATTGTCACGAGCTCCGATCTTCAGCCTTGGGCCGCTAAACTCTAGCTGCCGTTAACCCGACGTTATCGTTAGACGCCGCTTATTAAAGGATTGCATAATAGAGACTCGATAATGAAAGGTGAGATTAACGCGAATATTATATACGAGATCGATCAATCGTGGATATTGATTAATCCGTCGAGCTGGTTTAACTTATCCGGTCTCGTTTAATCGTCGTTTGATCGTCGAGCCTGAGGACTGGTCCAGCCACGAGGGCCTGAGACTGAGCCATTTAGGTAATGAACCTTGGGACTGTTTAATTGTCGGGACCCAGCACGTAATTAATGTATGTTGCAGCGAATCAATTTAACGGGACCTTTGTGTCAAAGGCCCGTTCGACTAGCGAAATTTGGAGCGTTAAATTCGATGCTTTCAGGTCCTAGATGCGTTAATTTAAGGCCTAATTGCTTACTTCCTCTTATCGATGATTTGACATTAGTGGAGAACGAATGAGTAGCCGACCGGTTTCGGTAGACTTGACATTTTGCTTAATTTTTCTTCATTTGTAGTCAGGCTTTCCTAAGTATTTCGTACAAGCTTATTTACGTATGCATTGGAATATGAATATGCGCAGGTGGCTATCTTGTACTTACTTGGCACGACTACATTTGCTTCGGATTTGTATTTCTTACAAGTACACAAATGGATATAGATACAAATGGCGTTGAAACGCGATCAAAAGTTTTTATCCGACGATTTGATTCCATTGAATGGAGTCAGTGCTTGCAGCATTGTTCCATAAGGCGGTGACAGAAAGGGACTAGCAAAGAGAATTTAAAGGGATTTAATGAGCATCTCATGAATTTATCAGGAAGTCTGTGTATAATCGTAGACTCGAGCGGAGATGGACTTCCTGCTACCGTCACATCTGCACCCCTTATATTTATTTCATGATCTAATCCTACTGCCATAAGTCCCTTGAATATTTTCATTCCACGTACACTTTCCTTTTGTTCCATTTCACTCTGTTTTTTAATCGCATTTGCGACTTTTAGATTATCCTTCTTTAATTGTACTTACGTATGCGATACAAGGCAATCAACTGACAATTGTTCGTTGTTATGTATACATGGAATAAATTTTTGGTCATCGTTATCATTTTTCTAACTTTTCGAGCAAATTTCTAAATTCCCCGAATTTTCTTGGTTCATTAAGCTAACGAATTTCTATCCCCTTTTTCCTTTTTATTACGTCAACTGAGCGAAGCAAAGTTAACGATGAATCCTGTAATTTCTACGTGAAAAATTCGAAAATTCCGAGGTTCGCGCGAAAACGCGGGATTAATCACTGCCAGGGTTTAAGCTGCAATCTTTATCAAGTTACTTTAAACAAAGCAAAACAATTTATTTCGCAATCTTGACAAACGGCCTTACATACATTACTTTTCGTTTCGCTTTAACTCCGAATCCCAGGGCTAATGCATCGTCTGCTGTCACAGGGTTAGCATAATGTGCTTAGCAACCCCAGGATCGCACCACGGTCACCCACCGAACAAGTCCTGTACAAGAGCCAGCACTTAATGTCTCCACATGGGGAGTGAACATTCCCATCGAGGACTCGATTTTTCCTCCAACATCCCGTCTACGATCGATTTTTCACAGGTACGATTATTTGCAATATCTATGATACAATCGACCACGAAATTTTCGACGAAATTTCATTGTTTCTAAAGCTTTATCCATTTCTGTAATATAGCTAGAATATAGCTAATCGTATGACTTTTAATTCCATTGCATCTAAAATTAAAAACTCTTATAAATGTGTAACAGTTGCATGTTAATAAGAATTTAACTCGCGAGACTTTGAATGAATCCAGTTTATAATATTCGAATGCACGACATAGGGTTTCGGGAATATTATATTTTCCCTGTAAATGTAAATATATTTATTTTCAGAGTACAGCACGCAGACATTTTTATATTTCTTCTTATTTTTCTTGTCCGGTTCACGATCAATTAACATAAAGCGTTCGTGCAACGTAATTTTAATTAACGAACAGTTCAGACAGTCGGAAATTACTTTCACAGCAACGTGTTATTACGGCTGGGTAAAAAATGGAATAAATGTCAGTAACATTCATGGTTGGAAATTATTAATAAAAATAGTTGGCAATGTAACAAGAGTGGAAGGATTAATGTCAGCGATAATCTTCCACGTATGTTACTTTCCATAGCTGCACTTTCGTTCAAATAATCCTCGTAATATTTCATGGCTCGTACAAAAATATCTACTTGAATTAACTCATAAATGATAAAAATTCCATTAAATGCTCCGGAGATATTCTCTTGAAATATTCGTATTCAACAGTTCTTTGTCATACATATGCATATTTAAAGCACGTGAAACGATTAGGATTACAGGGTTGATTTTTCTTTCTTTCAAACTTCAATCCTATTATCATTATCCGTTAAACACGCGAGTATGGCAAACGGGAATTTAATCTGCTCAGGAACAACCTAGGAGAAGGTTTTTGGAGAGCCTCCTCCGCCAAACCAGATGCTTCGCAATTAACTTACATAGGAGCTGTTCAACGCTAATTAATAAGTATGTCAGGAACGTACGTTTCGTGCTTCGATTAGGTTATTTTCAAGTTTCGAAGTTTGAGGAATTAGCGATGGTAAAATTAAATTTCTGACACACATCCGTAAATACCTGTAGAGCCTTATCAAGTTGTGAAACTATTCTTCAATTTATACCCTACTGTATTATATACAATATTGCTCTCTTCACTCCGCTAACCCAGTTCTGTAATATTCTCCATGGGTCGCTATATCTTTTATCCATTTAAATATAATGATACTGTGAGGGTCCTTCCCCACGGTCCTGGAAATCGAGTATCCTTGGTATAGTGGTCGAGCTAGAAGGGACTAAAGGAAAAGGAAGAAATACGTTTCGTCCCGGGCCTGCTAGTGGACAATGCCCACTAGGTATTTCTCTAAATTGCTCTATCACTGTCAGTTTTCGAAAATCGTGAATTTTTCTAAAAAGGCACGATATTTGGCTAAAACGAAGTATTAGACAAAATGTAAAGACTTATTAGTTATAACTTATAACTAGCCTACAACTAAAATTTCAACCTTAGTGCGTAGCTCCTAGCTTGACATAGTTTTCCAAAGATTTTTCCTGGGAAAACGATGTCAATTACCAGGTCTCACCACGTGGAGGTGGCTACGCATCGAGACCCGACATACGCCCTAGTGGCGCAGCCTGCTGGCGCTATCTGTATCAAAGATACGCTAATCTAACTTGGAGCGAAAGAAGTTAAAGTGAAGCTACTGACACTTTATTATATTTCGTGTCTTACAAAACGCGTTTCGGATCGGTATACTAAAATTTATACTCTACTGACGCAACACTAATACATTACATTTCAACTGACTCTAATATTTCTAAGTTCCCAAAACTTTGGGGAACCAAATATGAAAAACACGAGCAAAGAAAAACTAAGTTACAATCGCGACGCGCCCCAACGAGTTCGCGATTATTCAAAAGACCGACTAGCATACGCGAAGTACTCCCGTGTACAAGACAACTCCATGCCTCGGCACCCTCCCGATCGAACCTAGC